AAGACAAAACAAGGAAGAAGTGGTGATCCAAGCATATCAAAACAGCATAATAGGCCATCACCAAAAATAACATTAAAAAAGATTTTGAAACTCCAATTATTTTTAAATAAAAATTAACATTTATGGCCTTAATATTTTGCCATCCAGTATTAAATACTTAGTGGGCCATTTAGGAAAAAAAGAAAAAAAAAATCTTTGCGGGTTATGAAATGAATTTACTATTTTACTCTTTTAGTTTCTTGTGTAAGTAATTGGCTAACACTTCATTTTAGATGTGAATTTGGGACATGTTGAAAATGGACCCACCACCCTTAGAGATAGCTAACTGGCTTGGGACCCGCTATGGTGGAGTTTCCTAAACATTTAGACTTGACCACCGAAAGTTATAATTTAGACCTGACTGTCTAAAAATTGTGACTTAGACGTGGCTCTCCAAAAATTATATGGCCTTTGTTCAATCTTATGATATTACGTATTTCAAGTATATATAGAGTAGGTATTATCATTATCATCATCATTATTATTATTATGTTGGTCATTAGGTTTGACGGTATGCTCTTGTATATAGACAATATTTTGGTTTTTTTCGTGTATATGAACAAGTTTATAAAAAATACATTTAAGTATCATTTTTATATATTGGTTTTCCTATTTTTCCGTACCCATTAAATCCCAAAGATTACATTTAGAAATGTATATGAAAGATAAAAATTATTTAGAGTACCCATTTTTTCATTTCGATGATTATAACAAGTAAGAGCTTTCTTTATTAGGATGGGAATTACTATATTTGTACTAAAAGACAAAGGGCATGTTTGTCATCTTAAGAAGAGCATTTTTAAAATATTTAATAAAATAAAAATGGCGTTTTTATTGAGGGAAAAGTTTATATAAGGTTGCAACCTTAAAATTTAGAATCATAGATGCACCTCAAAAATCTATCGGACATATTGTTTCAATGTTGAAAAACCCTCTAATTGATCATCTCAACATTGAGCTGTATGAATATTTTAAAAAAAAAAGTTTTTGAATCCCAAAAATAGTGCATCTTGCAACACATTATCTAGACCATCTATTTTCAAGATTTTCATTTGTTTATAGATCTACTTGATTTTAACCAGTTTTGGAGTTTAAATATTTTTTAATTAGATATGAAAATAGTTTTTAAGATAATGCTAAAAACGTTTTACAACAAAATTACATGTTATGATAAAATTTGGAGGTGCGCCTTAATTGGATTGTTTAAGGTTGCAACCCTATAAAAACTGCACCCTTTTATTAATAAAGAGTCTAGATTTTCACTCCATAATTACACTTGTCTTTTAGTGAAATTATCAACCATTTAATAACAAAAATGCCCTTACTTATTTTATAGTCTTGAAATAAAAAAATAGACAATCAAGATAGTTTCAAAATTTCACATCACTATTCTTATTTCTTAAAATTTATTTATTTTTTTATATTCATGATCTCCATGTTAGAGATTATATGCCCTTAAAAATTGGGTCCAAAAATCCATCTCAAAAATAAATTTTTAAGAGTTGACTCATTTTTACATGGACTCATAGAAACTGGGTCCTTATTTAAATAGATGGTTCAATAAAAGGAATAAAAGTATTTCATGAGTCAGATCATTTTCAAGAAATATAAGATTCGCTATTTATTTATTTGTTTTTCAGATTTATGATCATAGATCGAGAAAATAAACTTATAAAATATTAAATGTATAATTCATCTTCCGGATTTTGCTAGAGTTTATTCAGTGTAATAGTTATTATCCAAATGGACGCTTTAAATGTGCCAATACAAGATTATATGGAAAAGTTGCTAAAATCCCGATTGTGTTAACTTTCTTAAGATTCTCCCCTCCCCGAACAACTTTTTAAAACACTAAAACAAGGGCAAGCTTTCTATGCTTCTCCTGCAGCATAAAAGTTCTATCCTTTTTTTTTTTCCAAACGTCCATTCTAAATGCAGGGTTAAGATTGCTCCAATCACAATGTCATGTCTCTATACTATTTTTTTTTTCTTTTTTTTTTAATGAATTATTTTGACATCAATTTTTGGACGTCCATTCCTCTATTAAACTTGCACTAGCGAAAAATAAAAAAAAAATATTTTCAATAAAATAAAATGACCAAAATACCTCTGAAAGTTTAAAAGGGTATTTTGGTCATTATATTTTATCAAAAAATTATTTTTAATACTTTTTATAGGTGTACCCCAATGAGAAGATGACACGTACCAAATTTCATATTTATACAATTTGTATAAAAAAAAACTAAAAGTAAAATACTTTGAGACGTCTGATCTAAAATCAAATGGTGAGTGGCTCTCTTGATCAAAATTGGACGGCTGGATGGTAGGAGAAGTATGAAACTTCTATGCTGTAGGAGAAAAATATAAACCTTTCCCCTAAAAAAAGCCATCAATGTTTTTTTTTACACTTTGCTTGTGTTCAAAAGGTGAATAAATTTATGACCAAAATATCCCTCTCTCTACTTTATACCCATGTTTTTATAAGGAAAATTGATTTATGTTCATATTCATACAATTTGTATAAAAAAAAACTAAAAGTAAAATACTTTGAGACGTCTGATCTAAAATCAAATGGTGAGTGGCTCTCTTGATCAAAATTGGACGGCTGGATGGTAGGAGAAATATAGAACTTCTATGATATAGGAGAAAAATAGAAACCTTTCCCCTAAAAAAAGCCATCAATGTTTTTTTTACACTTTGCTTGTGTTCAAAAGGTGAATAAATTTATGACCAAAATATCCCTCTCTCTACTTTATACCCATGTTTTCATAAGGAAAATTGATTTATGCGGGCTGAACCGCATTTATATAATATGCGGTCCAAAGGCATAAAGCATCCATCTTAAAGATGGACGCAATTAGGTGATTCATCTAAAAATAAGTGTAACAAACGGTCTAATTGTTTTCTTAATATAATTATTATTTATATTTTTATTTTATTTTTATTTATTTATTGTTTTTTATTATTCATGATGTACATGTTAAAGATTATATATTTTCTAAAAATTAAGATCAAATTATATTTAAAAAATATATTTATTGCCAAGCCTTCATTTCTACAATATTTAGGTTGGCTGCATAGAAACCATATCATTTCATAATGTACTATGAAATCAATGTGTCGGACCGGTCCAATACATTTTTTGTATCGGACCGGACTCCTTTTTCAATACGGTTACTAGACCAGCACTATGAAATCCATATGCCAGACTGGTCGGACACATTTTTCTTGGCATATTTTTTTCCGTTGGACGGGCGTCGACTCATTTTTTTCAGTCAGGCACAAAAAAAAAAAATGTTGTTATCAAGGATTTAATGGGGGTATTTTGGTCCAAAATACCTTTTTGAATTTGGAGTAGTTGCAAAAGGAAATAATACTAGGTTTTTTTTAGTGTTTTAAAACGGTTTTGGGGGAATGATGTTAGGAAAGCTGAGTTTCCCTAGATTATCTGAAGCCACGTAAGCGTAAGTTTCTAACCTCAGAAGAATGTTCAGTCTTTCTTAATGCTTGATAAAAACATTCAATCAGGTAGAATCTCTTCCGCAACTAGTCAAGGTTTCCAATTACCGAAAATCTAATGCAATTAAAATTTACTTATATCATTAAGATGAAAGAGGACCTTGTAAGGAAATAAATATAACAATAGATAAAAGCCAAAAAAAGTGACAAAAAAGATATGTGAAGTGAATCGATGGTTGTTTTGTTTATAGGAGAGAAAGTAAACAAATAGTGAAATCCAACCGCCAGTCAAATGTAGAGTTTTATTTTATTATTTTTTAAATAATTTTTTTGGTTGTCGTTTTTGGAAGTGGGTATGCTTCTTTATTTTAAACAAGGGAGCCAACTCAAATAGAACAATAAGAAAAGCCAAAGACTGTGACATAGAAGAGAGTGATGTGAAGTGAATCGATGATTGTTTTATTTATACTTTTATAGAAAAATGGGAAACTAATAGTGAATCCAACCGTCAGTGAAATGCTATTGAGTGTAGAGGTTTTCTTTCTTTTATTTTTCTCTCTTATTGGGAAATGGGGTATGCTTCTTTATTTCAAGCAAGGGAGCCAACTCGCGAGGGTGGAATAAGGAAATGCTAAGCCAAATTGGCTGAATTGAGACGGGTGATTTGGATTTGAAAAAAAAAAAAACAAATATCGATTGAAATTTACTTGATCAATTAGATTCAGTAATTCTTTTGATTTTTCGATAGCTCGGCTATAAGAATCAACTTGAGATGCAGCACTGCTGGATATCAATTGCTAAGAACTCAAGCCCAAGTGCAATTCCTTAGATTAAGTAGTAAACTTAGAATTTTTGAGAAGGATGCAGGCAGCTCAAAATGGGCGTGGTGGCCCGCATTGCTAGGTGGGCTAGACCTTGAAAGACCTTGGCTTGCGCTATAAAATGCAGGTAGAGGTTTTGGACACCATGAATCAAGGCTGGGCCTAGGCCTAGGCCTGGGCCATGACAAGAGCAGCCCGAGCTTGCGCCAGGCTGGCTCAGGCTTGATTTATTTGCCAGCCCTATAACCACTGCATCTCAAAATGCCGATAGAAAATGCAATTTTGGGGTTGGAAATTGTCACGAGGGCCTGAAAATTTATTCAGTTTCTGATTATGAAAGAAGCTCCAAAAATAGTGTAGATCCAGATGAGTCCTACAATATTTTTGTTACATATAGATTGCATCCATGGATTTGTTGACATGCGGAAATACGCAATCTGAATTATGTATTATAAGATGCACCATTTTTACAATTTGAAATCTTTTTTTCTTTTTTTTTCCGGAGAGGTCGACAAAGGATTTATCTGTAATTTTCGATGAGACTTAAGCTGAAGCTTTAAAAGCTGCATCCCTACAATAACCTTTTCATTTGGTAAATGTGTCTCTAAGCGGTTTTTTATTGGGTAAGTAAATGTGTTTCTAAGAGGTCCTACTTGAAATCGACACAACGATAAGTGATACCTCTGCTAAATAATCGCCATGTGCCATTGCAGAAATTTCCACCCAATCTGAAATGATGACATATTTACATTATAGTTTTTTGAGCAGTTCAGTGGAAGGAATCGAAATTGGGATATAGCATTGCTAATCAATTAAGCTCAAGCACAATTCCTTTTTAAAAAAGAGAGAAAGGAATATGCATAATCTGTCTACCACTAAAACAAAGCCTATGGGAAAGAGGTCAGGGTCCTAGTGGTAGCATCCCTACGCCCAGTTATCACATCATCGTATCCATTCCTACTTCGGATACCCCAATTATAACACATTCAAAATGTAATTCCTCAATCTATTGAAAAAAAAAGGTAGGAGTCTATCTTCCCCACTGAATTACCCAATAAAATTTGGGTATCATACTAAATTAAATGACAAATTTCTCCCAAAATTCCAATGGTTACCCTATAGAAGGGAAAAGACAATTAGACTACTTTTGATCATCAATTTTGTGTTTTGTGGCACAATAATCATTCTATATCTTGAATACATTACCAAAGAAATTTTTAAAAAAAATACACAAAAAATACAGGAGTAAAAGAAAGTATTTTCTCTTTTAAAATGAGAACAGCCTGAAAAAGAAGTTGCCTGATTTGGACCTTTCAAGACATGCCACGTGGACATACCTGCCCAAATTATCAATCTGCCTTGGTTCTCCCCTTGTGTCTTTCTTGCACACCTTGCATGTCTTGTCCACCCACCCATCCTCTACATATTGTCCATCCACTATAAAAAATAAAAAATAAAAAAAATAAAAAGAAATAAAAAACAATAAATCATTAAAAATAATTAAAAACACAATAATACATAAAATGGACTTCTTAACAAGAAGCTTGGTTAAATCCTAGAATTCATGTTTGCCTACAAATTTATAGACAACGTTAAAAAATGTCACAAGTACAACTAGGACTCACCTGAGTTGGATCCGTTCGGTAGACTGGCCAATCCAAAAACCCTCGAATCATAGGATAGTTCCATTTTTTTTTTCCTCGGAATTTTTTAGATTTTTATTGTTTAAGACTTCTCGAGTCCGACTTGGACTCGGCCAGGTTCGATCCACCGGACTTGGACCAGAACCGGGCCGGTCAGTAGGAGCCCAAGTCCGACTTTTTGAACGTTGGTTATAAAATGTTTACAAATATTTGACGCCTTAGACCCATTCACAGAAAAAGGTCAAGGAGAAAGATGGCAATGCCAGTTATATGCGCAAATTATGCTTTTAAAAATAAATGCTAGGAGTTAGTACTTACCATCGATATAACTTTTGAAGAAATCCTTATAGGTCCCACCAATCTTCCTTCTTAGAGCTCCATACTGTCAATAACCAAGTTTGCAAGAGATTACCGGTTTAGTACACATATTCTAATGAGCTCCATGCTTTCAAAAATTCAAGAGCCACAAGTATATGTATGTCGATTAAGTGGTCCTCTTTCTTTTCTTTTCCTTTTTTTTTTGCAGCAATTCAGTAATTAGGAATAGAACTTGAGATATAGCTAAATGTACCCAATCCCACTTTTTGATTAATCGGCATTTCTATGTGGGGGAAAGTTGCAAGGTTCATGGGTTGTGATGGTACAATCGATACCTAGTTATCATGTTGTGGTTTAATCCTATCCACTGACACCTTCAAAAAGCTGACTCCCTAATCTATCTAAAAAAACGGATAAGGCCCGTCTTCCCTACTGAATTATCAAAAAAAAAAACATAATAATAATAATTGCAAGGTTCAATAATTGATCCCTTCGTATAAGAGCACAAAGATTAGGTACTTGTTCTATAGACAATAGACCCCTCTTTCATCCCTCAATCACACATGTAGCATATGGGCACACCAGTATAATGGTGATTGTTTGTGAGGATCAGTATCTAGAAAGTTGATTTCTGGTGGCGCCTCGGCACTTGCCGGGTGAATCAGCCTCCGTAGTTCCAGCTGAGTTGGTCCCGAGCAAAGAAAATAATATGAAAAAAAATTAAAATAGCTCAGGACCTGAATTGCCTGAGGAGGCCCTATATCCTATAGTGAACTGGGGAGTTCGCTCTAGTGAACTACATATTCCCTGTTTGAGATGGTCTAGAACTGGGAACCCATACCAACTAGGGCAATTTCGAGTCTGCTCGCCGAACTTTCAGTGGTGTGTATACCAGAAATATAACATAGTAATAAATCGACAGGAACATAATACTACTTGATTGATGTATGATTTACTCAAAAATAGCATGTAAAATCCACAAATATTAGGCCCTCTGTCATAGCATATGAGCATGAGAGAGAGAGAGAGATTACCTGCTCCCTACTCATCCTACCACCAGATTTGGTGGCCTCCCTAGCTTCATCTAGAAGCTCAGCATCTTCGGCAGACCTAACTTGGGAGAAATCAAGGGCATCAGTGAGGCTTCCGAGTAGTGATTGTTTGGGCTTGTTGGGTTCACCTTCCTCTCCCTCCAACTTAGCCCAGACACCTCCAAATTTAGTGGCCTTACATGATGTAGCAGTTTTTGGAAAGAGTCCTCCATTATAACAAGGGTAGCAACTTTGTGAAGAAGAAAGGGGAAGAGCCCTTAGTGCTGCCATGCTCCCCCCCCCCCTTTGAAACTCTTACTAAATGTTTGAATTTTTATATTGAGCAAACCATAACTGCCCCAAAAATCTGCCCAATTTTTTCCTATGAAAATAAATTTTTAGCAAAGGAGAAGAGGTTGTAGAAATTTTAGAGCAAGAAAAATATTGATAAATTGGTAGCATAAGAGCCAAGGGGATCAAATGGCTTCTAAAAAGACTCCCGAACTATTAATAATTTTTTAAATGCCACGTGGCAGCATATACAGAGAAGAGGGGGTAGGATTGTGGATATCTTGAAAAGCAATGGTTAGCGAGAGACTACGTGGATGTGCTTTTGGCCTCTACAATGGAGTGCTGCTCATTGTTCCTGCCACGTGTCATGATTTTGTTGGGTGGACCTTGTCTACATATGTTTCCATATTTTGTGGTTTAAACATAGGTTGGATTTATGCAATAATGCAATAAAAAAGGTCGGGACTAAACTACAATGGATGTTGGATATACAGTAAATTGAATAGTATTATTATATTAATATGTAAATTACACCCAAATCCTAATAGCAGGCATTTATCTACTTCAGGAAAAGACACAATTTTGGGCAAATATCAGTTTCTCAAAAATTGGAATCAGCCCCAACTCTCCAAGACCCGCTTCCGATTCGACATGTCCGACTCAGGTGCTCTATTTAGTAAAGATATTAAAAGACGAAGCTAAGTTTCAGAGAAATTATGTGATTGTGGAGTTTCTTGAACAGGAATCGATTTGCCGATGATCCCGATCAGAGTCGGGTGATTGAGGATTTTTCAATAACTTGTAGGGATCAAAAGAGGTAATGCAAAAATATTTTGAAGGTTGACATAGAAAATACGAAGAACCTAAGGATGAGCTCCCATGTAATTAATTTAGCCAAGCAAACTTTGCGATCAAAAGAAAGGAGCAATGCCAATAACAATAACAAGGGCAACATAAGAAATACGGAGTAGAACCCAATACAAACTAAGTTAAAAACCCTAGATTCACAATCAATCTCTTCTTCTTATGGGAATTCAAGGCATTTAAATGTGACCTTAATTGCAAATATGGAGGAACTATGGGGATCTAATTCAAATTTTCTTTATCCCATCCTCACGGATATCAAAATGAAATTAGCAATTTTGAAGACATTTCACTCTAGTGGATGATTTGGTTTATAGAGTGGGAAAATATATAATAAGATCATTTTTTCTTGGTACAATAAAGTCATAATCATCATTAATCACCAAATATAATTGTGCTGCGGGCATACTATCAATTGTGCTCGAAGTTCAAGAAAGTTGCGGGAACTTTTATATGGAGAAATGACGCACCCCAGACATCTGAATTTACAAGTAGTGGCTTGGGGTGTTTGTGGCCTTAGTCTGTGAAAGGTTATCGTCCCATTGTTTAAAGGTAATTGTCCCATCGTATACAATCTGTTATCAAATAGTCCACGGCAAACCGTTGGATCCTTGAGTGACTTTGTATCACAAGTTCTAAGAATTACCATTACCTATACGCTAGAGGCTTTTTAAGATGAGAAGCCTTGGAGCCTAGAGGCTTTTGCTGTTTTACTAACATCATTTTGAGCAATAGGCTAGCCATAGTTACTGTGCTTCTGTGCATATAGATATACATTGTGGTGAACCGCGTAATTCTTGTGTATTCTCTTTTCATTATTATGCTTAGACAATGAACTGTTAGTTGACCAACACATTCACAATGGATCAAATAGCTCAAGATCCTTGAAGGTGGTCAAAACTGCTAACTTTCTAAACACCTTGAACACTGTCATCTTACCAAAAGGCACCTTGGGATGATACTTGCATCACCACATTCTCTATCACCTTTCTAGCGAAAACACCAATCACCTTTTTTGTGTGGCAAAAACACCACGCATGTGTAAAGGGAGCATCACACAACATATACCATCCCAACCTCGAGCAGCGACACATGCGGGACCCGCAATGCCACCGCTGGCCCCCTACAGTTCCGACTCAAGAATGTGTAACCATAATCGATCGCCAGTCTCTTTAAGAAAGATGACCCTGGGCTCGCCTTCACATGTGCATGCCCCATTATGAATGCAGTCCCGGCCTGTTGTGCAGTTGCCAACTCCTCTAGCTCCTCCCTCACGCTATCATCCATCCTGGGGCTATCTGGGAACACAAACCTCACTCTCCTCCGAAACCCATTCTCGGAAGCTCGAAAATCCGACTCCTGGAGACTAACAGACTGTGGGCTCTCATCAGTTTCATAAACGCAACAACTTGCAAGGAAATCTGGAGCTGACCCCACAACAGTCATTTTTACCATTTCATCCCCACTACCCCGCTCTAAGGAGGTTTCAGACTGCAAGAGAGAGGCTGGGGACTGGGGACTGCTAGTCAGTCTGACAAAGTCTGCCAGTCGAGCTGCAAGCTCGCGCTCAAAGTCATGGGTATCCCGACGCACATCTCGGTATCCATATCGTGAAATGCACCTATACAAACGGGCCCCCGGTGGGCCCACTCTGCCGATCAAATACCTTTCTGCAGCAGGAACCCGGGGCACCGGAACAGATTTCACACAAACAAATACAAGGACTCTATGGAACGCGGGGAGGTTCGAAACGAAACGTGAAAAGTTGGCGGGGACACCAGAGACAAGGTCGGTGAGTACAAGGCCGATGCCTGGGACCCTAGCTATGCCTAAAGCGGGCCCCAGTGCGAGAAGCCAGTCTAGAGAAACCTTGTTGTGAAGGTCATACTCATAACTTTTGATGGTTGCATAGTGCCAGACGAACATGAGGGTCATCAGAATGAGAGCGAGAAGGATAGGGACCCAGGCACCATCAAGGAACTTTGTGAGAGAGGCAGAGAAATAGAGCAGCTCAAGGGGCCCGAAGAAGAGGAGGAAGGCGAGGGCCACAAGGGGGGGCTTGTGCCAGCATAGGAGGATCACTAGAGAAGTGAGGCAGGTTGTGACCAGCATCACAGTCATCACCGCAAGACCTGCATATGCAGAAGGCTGCAGCTGTTAGGGACCTTCGGAACAATCTGCCATCTCTCTCTCTCTCCCTCTCTCTCTCTCTCTCAAACAGGTACACATTTCATACATATACAGTAAGTTCAACAGAAATACTCTTCACAGGTCTTTCTTGCAGCTTCAAATAATAGAGAAAATATACTACGATGCATATGACAACAGTAAAACTATGAACTCAAGTGTCCGTCATTATCCAATGATTGATGGATGGTGATGAAGAGAGCGTAAGACCAGTCATGTGTCCTACTTCTCACAACCCTCCATTCATTAATGGGTGCTTATATACTTTCTAAAGCACATCATCATAGTACTCTGTAACTATGAATTTTAAGACATGCATATCTAGAGTTTTAGGCATGTGTCGATAGGCCAAAGACAGGACACGCGTTTGACACTAAAGAAATTTTAGAGGCTTCTACTTTTTTTCTTCTAGAATGTCAAGTACTTGTTGCTTAAAAGGTGAATTCTGAGCTTGGAAAGCATGGGCTCAGAGACTTGCTATGGACAAATTATCATGTATACTTTGTAACTATGACCTTAAGACATGGATGTCTACAGCTGTCGGCACATGTTGACATGCTTAGGATATGACTCACATGTCTAACACTTCAGAAATTTAGACTCTTCTAATATATTTTTACCTTCTGAAATGTCATTAATACACTTCATCACTTAAAATCCCACCTCTCCCCTCTCTAAATGGTGTATGAAAGTTTATGTCTGAAAAGCATTTCAGGTTTGGTAAAAGCATAGCATTTCCAATGAGCATATCTGTGTCAAGTGTTGACTCTCATATATCCATGTCTTAGAAACATGGCATTCTAGTCATTCACACACACATACAATGATGGAGGCCCTTATACCCCCAACACCATAACCAACTATTGCCCCCTCCCCGTTTCCTTTCTCGTCTCCTCTTTCTCTCTCTCTCTCTCTCTCACACACACACATACATACAACTTCAGGACAGCGGTGATGTATTTTCTCTATCTATACTGAACCTAAAGCAAGTACGCTGAGAACAGTAGAAGGCATTCAGTCATTGTTAGAGAATTGCGATGGGCTCTGTGCGAGTGTGTGTGTGGATATGTGTGTGTGTGTGTGTGAGAGAGAGAGAGAGAGAGAGAGAGAGAGAGAGTTGGTTATGATCGAAACCTTGGTTCGAATGGAATGAATATAAAGGCAGAGAGATAGTTAGAGTTGCATCAGACTTACTCTTCTAAAAATCTCGCCACCACAATTCATTCATTTGAAGCCAATATGCAACTGCTACTATGACAAGCCAATCCAGAGAAATCATGCTCAAAAGCTTACCTGAGGCATTGCCCATGTGTTTCGTATCCCTGAACCCTACAGCCACAGCGAGAGTGAGGACCATGAGCATCCAGTTAACCTCTGGTATGTAAATTTGGCCATGAATTTTGTCTGATGTATGAACCACCTTCACTCTTGGAAAGCAGCTCAGAGACTGGCTCTGGTTAATGATGGAGAAAGTTCCACTAATAATAGCCTGGCTTCCCACCACTGAAGCGAGGATTGCAATAGCAAGTATAGGCCACCTCACACTCTCTGCAAAACATAACAAAGAAATAAACCCAATTAAAATTATGTTCTAGAGAAAGATTTTGATAAGTTTGCTAGAGAGAGATGATAAGAAACATTGAGGAATTTCCTCTCAGAAAGATGGTTGCAACCATGTTTTTAGATTTTGGTGGGGTCTAAATTAATAATTTTCATTATTGTATATCTAAGATATTTCAGAAGGGCTGATATACCTGGCACAGAGACATAGAAGCCAATTTGGTAGCTTGTGTCTATGTGATGGTGTTTTGAGAGATACGCAGCTTGGCCCATATATGCTAAAATGAGTGCAGGGTAAACTACAAAGGTGAAGGCCATCTGCAGATTCAAGGAATCAAAGCAAGTTGCAAAGAACAGTATAAAGTAAAGGTCCCTAGATGTAGTAGAACAAAAGAAATCATTCCCTCTTTAACTGGAGAGAGAGAGAGAGAGAGATTGCCTGTATTGCTCTGTACGAGAAATGGCCAAGGTCTGCAAACATGGCCTCCGATCCTGCAAAGAAAAAAATCATTACATAAATGAAGGCTTGACTGGTTTGTTCGCAAAGATATTGTACATTGTCAAAGGATAAAAGTGAACAAAGTTGCAAGAATATGTCATATCACGCGCACATGCACGTGCACGCACACACGCACACACACACACACACACACACACACATACACATGCACACACACACACAGAAAGAGCTTAATAAGTTTCAGAGTTGGTCACCAGTGATGCACAAGAGGATTCCGCCCAAGGACATCCAACCACCCTTTCTGGTCTTCTTCAAGAACTTGTACATGTAGTATGGGGACAGTGCTTGATACACATATGGGTTCCAATGAAATATGTTGTACAATCCGAGGGTACTAATACATAGTAACCAAGTCAATACAACTGGTGCAAAGAAGAAGCCAACTCGGTGAGTCCCATAATGTTGCAGCGCAAACAAGCATACCAATATGAAGCATGTGATTGGAACCACCGCATCTGAAAAAAAATAGTTTTATTGGTCAGATTTTGAAGGAAAAGAGTAGAACGCATACAAGTAGAATACGCCGTATTCCAATACACACTGGTCTGTCTATGGCATCCCAATACTACATCCTCCACTGATGGATGTTGGGAGATTAACTGAGGTGGGAACCAAAGGGGCATTCACAGGGGTAAAGTTAAACTCCAGAAAATGGCCACCATTGTTTCATGATTATGAATTAACTTTCCTAGAGCTTTTTATCCCATATTATATATTCTGAAAGAAATTACAAGAAATAACTTTTTCTTTACCTACAAATATTGAATGAAAATAAGCTTCATGATTAACATATAAAGATCTTCTAATTGATCCAAGTTTGAATTTCAAGTTATAGCAATAAATATTGCTCTACAGTGAACAATTCCATTATCGAGTCGAGAACAAAGATTCTAATTCTTGTACAAGAAAAAACTTGATAAAACATCAGGCTTGAGCTGGCGGAAAGCTCAACCTTGCAGGCCACACGTAACAATGAGTATTTTTCTCGTGTATATGGAGCCAGAGCTTCCAAATCATTCCAGACTTTTGGTTCATTGTAGCACAAAACATGGCAATGACATTTGGCTTTGTTTTACAATTCAGTACTCAGTGATTGATCATATTCCAGTCTACCAATAAATCACAACCAGATGCAATAGCCACAGACAACAATTCAACCAAATTTCTTTTGATTTTGTAGCTTATCTATATCAGAGCAAAGTGGGAAACCCCTTATCAAGATGCTGATATGTGAGGAAATTAACACCAGAGGGCCTTGTTAAAATGGAAGAAAAAAAGGGTACTTCACTTGTTAATATAGTTCACCATTCCGGGGATCTTTATTCGTACAATCTTAAACAATTCAGCGAAAGTAGAAACTTAAATTCTTGTTCACAGAGTAAATTTTCAGAGAAAGGTTCGGGAGAGGACCCCACACTCTAGTCACCACATTGTGTTTTCCATTCCCATTACTAACACCACCCCACTAACACCTTCAAAAAAGCTAACTCGTAATCTACTTGAAAAAACGGGTAGGGGCCTGTCTTCCCCACTGAATTACCCAAAAAAAAAATTCAGAGAAAGGTTCAGGAGAGGATCCTTACATTCACGATGCTCTTTGGACATAGACAGCTCAAGCCCTGAGACTGCTGAGAAAACTAAAACAAGAGACAAAAATAAAGACAAATCAATACCTTAATCAACTACTTCGTCGAGAACATAACAAAATCACCAATCAATCAATCAGAACATAAAAAATCACAAGGAAAAATGGAAAGTACCAGAAATTGCTGGAGTAAGCACCCCATCTCCAATTACCATACAAGTGCCCAATAAAACCACAATTAGCAAAGCCGTATGAAAATTCTTATGCTTCTCTAACCAAATTTTTACCCTTGATCCATTCCTTTTGTCAGGGGGAGATTCCATTATGTATGTAGAAAGCTCCTCATCTGCAACCTGCCTATTGGGTAAAAGGCTTACTTTTGCATGCCTGCATATCAATGAATACAGAGCAAATGTACCACCTACAACACCAACCAAACAAAATCAACAAAATTACTAGAGACACATGAATCCCAACTAGAATATCCTATAAAAGTTTAGATTGCACTTGATAGTGAAAAAAAGCTATAAGATCATCTTAACCAAAAGAGAAGAATATTACAAATAGTATATCAAAGAGAAGGAACATAAGCTCATCCAAATATGAAATATGCATTAAAAATTTAGACTATATTAATTGGCAATTTACAGTAAATGAAAGCAACATAAAATATGCTGAAATGGGTTCTAACCTATGTTACAGAGACACGGACACGCATGTCTATTTATGATATGGATACGAGTGTCAAAGATGTGAACCCCAAAAAATGACATCTAGACATGACACATCTATAAAATATACAAATATATAAATAATTGTATATATATACATATATTAAAATCTGTGTAATTCACATCTGCATTTACATGTACAATAATTCATGTCATACAACAATAGTTAAGGATCCAAAAAATAAATAGAATTAGATTAATAGTCCAAAAAAGGTTTCTTTGTGAATCTGAATTTTATTCGTCAAATTTCTTATAGACCAATCAAGGTTACATCGTAACAATAGAGAAAAAAGCTGCAAAGTATTAGCTAATTATTAATTCAAAGTGTAGCACCCTTATTGTGTAGCTATTGAAAACAATCCTAAAATACTTGTTACTTTAAAAATAAAATATTCTTTAATGAAGACTGAAGTTTCCAAACAATGAAGTGTCACTTAAAAAAAAAAAAGTGTGAAAAAAGGGACATAGTAGTGGACAATTAATAGAGGTGTCTTATGTGTGTCTAAGAGTGTCACACGCATAAAAGAATACAATAGTGGACACTTAATAGAGGTCTCGTATGCATGTCTAAGAGTGGCACATGCGTGTCGATGTCTGTCAAGTGTCAACACATGGTCAGACCCGGACATGCATGTCTATGTTTCATAAGTTCTAACTAAAAGAGAAAACTTATAAATTAGTATATCCAAGAGAAGGAATATGACAGACCCATTTGAGTAAATCTACATAAGAACCTAGGTAACAAATAATTGAATAAACTGACAATTGAAACAAAGCAATTGTAAAAAAGCTAGCAAAAGAATTTTTGGATCTAGTCAAACCAATAGAACATAATACAAGAAGTATATGTCAAACAGAAATACATAATTTCTAGATTAGGAATATGATACTGAACAAGTAAAAGCACTTGTATTAAGATACCTTCTCCATTATCATCAGCTCTGAGCACTATGAAGACGTACTTGAAAAGTGGGATTAGTGTGAGCGTCCAAAAAACAAAAGACAGAACCCCAAATATTTCTTCGTTGGTCTCCGAATGAGTGATATCGTCTGCAAACGTGCTCTTGTATACATAGAGAGGGGAAATGCTCAAGTCCCCATATACCACCCCTAGGCTTTGGTAAGCCAAGAGTAAAAGGCTCCTCCATGAGTCCTTCTACAACCAAATTTGGATCCAATTGATTGCTCAGACTCATATTTAAACTACTGTAACATTAACCACCCACTACCATATGTAATGTAAAGCAATATTAACAAGCAACCACCCCCCCCCCCCCCTCTTCAAGAAAAAAAAGTAAAGCAATTTCAATAAATAATGGGAACAAATGAAACCATTGAGTGAAGAACAAATTCAGGAATGAAAACAAGCAAGCTAGTAAGCAATAGCAACTAAACTTCACTGGTTTTTAGAAAACTAAGAAAGAAAGGAGCCCATTAATCTACGTTCTTCAAAGAAATGCAGCAACCGTGATTTATACACATAAAAGAAGATATCCACATAAAAGAAGAAAGCCAAGTATTAGTGCCATTCAATCTTTTAATTGTGTTAGGTGAAGATGTTTATTTCCAAAAGGCTTGAAAAAAAAGGAAGCAAGATTAGCACTATATCATGGAGAAAATACTCGAAAAACCCAAATGCAAAATAACCAAAACTAATAAGAAAATAAAAATATTGGCAATTCGTGTATTTCTCATTTGCATAAAAAGATATAAACAAACCCATATCATAGCTGTATATCATACAAAAAATATATCAGATTTCATGAACATAAGCATTATTCATTAAAAAAAGAAAGGTAGCAAAAAGAGCATGGTTACTGCAGCATTCATAACTGGTGCTAAGTAAAACTAAACAAACCCAACAAAATAATAATAATAATAATATTCCCTTATCTACTCAGGAAAAAAAATCCCACACCAGATATATTGAGAAACTCCTGTAGCTCAGTAACATTACAACATATTTTGATTTTTCTTTTTTGGATTCTTTTGCTAAGAAGAACTAATAAAATGTAGTTTTTGTTACTTTTAATGTTACTAAAAAGAAACATTAGAGAAAGACAGAGGACAACCTTTAAAGGATTTCTAGTTCACTAACAGTACAGCATATTTTGATTTTTTTTTGGATTCTATTGTTAGGAAGAACTAATAATATGTAGTTTTTGTTATTTTAATGTCACTAAAAAAAACATTAGAAAAAGGGAGAGGGCAACCTTTGAAGGATTTCTCTGAGTACTGGCTTCAGGGTCCATGAAAAATTCAAGGAAAAGAACTGCCTCTTCTACTACCAATCACATTATGAAATTTCTGCAGCATAGTTTATTCAATAAATAAATCAAGAAAAATAAGTACAAAAATAGGGGGGAAAAAAATGAAAAATGAAAACAAGCGACCATGGCTAACCTCCATTGGTGTTATCAGTTAAAGCTGCAACTACAAGGCTTCAAGAATCAAGAATATAAAAGGCATGGATAAAAATGCCCTTATCTTAAATGTTAGGACAAATGAATCCAACCGTTTCCAAATGCCATGATTGTCCCTTTATGCTAAATATGACTATTCTGCCCATATCGTTTGAATAAGGCTCCAGCTCAAGGCCCAAAACTTTGCTAAAAATGATGTGAGATTTTCAAAATATTAATGTTTTCTCCATCTTAAGATTCTAAATTTTGAATCATGTAGTAAATTTAAACAAAATAGATGGTATGGTCCAATGTAATATTTTTATTATTATAAGGAAAAGAAGCTTCATAAATTTATATAACCACGTAATATCTATAAATGAAAAGTCGAACTCGGTGTTTTAAAATTTAGATAGGCCAGGGCGAACTAGTTGTTCGAGAAACTGGTCCAAAACGGTGAATCCCTATCTCTAAGATCTATTGGATTGTCCTCTATATAGAGGCACCGTGATCAAGTGGGTGGTCAAGTTGGTTATTGGTGATAAGCCTCGTATTATTTTCCTCTATTTCCCAGATTTATGGGATTATCCTTTATATATATATAGTATATATATATATATATATA